TACATATCAGCAAGTACATCTTCCTGACGAACTCCATGAGTGATGTAAAATTATTCTGATAATCCTCCAATGACTATATTGCGACACGCTTTTTTCGATGTACCTTCTCCAAAATGGGCACAATTCAGGTTTTAATTTTTCCATAAGAATTTTTCTAAATCTCTGGGCACCATATTGAATTCAGCTTGAAAATCAAAGAAATGACATACAAAGGAAAATAGGACCATCTGCATCGCGCAATGATTATTTCTTGAATGAAACGTTTCTTTGAGCTGGAGGATCCCCTTCGTTGCTGTACTTAATTCGGAAAGTATCCATATCATCTGTTAGCTTCAGCTTTTCTAGAGTGATTCAACAGAGCAGCTTCCCCAAGGGGTCTTTATTGCGCAGCATTACGATAGTGAACTTCTTGAAATACATGCATGAAAAGACTATATTTTCTTCCACCGACACAATTTTTGCATCAAGCATTTGATGACAAATATCCTGGGGTTTATCTTTCATTTCTATTATTTGCATACTTGATTAATTCGGTTAATCTGACGATCATTCAGTTCGTCTGACCGCAGGTCATTTATAACTTAACTGAAGCGGAGCGTTGCAATTTTCGTTTTATAAGTTAGGTCATCATCAATCGCCACCGATTTGGAAATAACAAATCTGGTGGGTGATGCTCAGCTCATTTTTGAAGCGTTTCACTGATAACAGAAATCCCCCTCCACCTTGAAAGATAAACATTGGTTGCAGATAGAGCTTTCTGCTTTTCAGACAATAAGCAGATCACTGATCTGTAATTATCCATTCTATATGCCTTAACGATTTCTGGCTTTCCATCTAATCAGATCTCCCTGTCGTATTAGCAGCTGCAGATGACTGCGATGCGGAGGCAAGGATGTGATTATTTGAAAAGTGTAATGAGATTTTGCCAACACATTTTCATTCCTATGATTCCTATGACTTACGGCCAGCTCATTAAAATAGAATATTTCTCTATTTTCACCTGATCCATTGAAATGATTGTGCTCTTTCAAGTCCCTGCAGAATTTATAAGCGTTTTTCTCTGTCCAGCAGACCGACTCAATTAAGTTGCTGACTTGTTTTGTTTACTACTTTGAATTTTAGCTAAGCAGCGTAGAAGCTGACCGTTTTATGTCGTTAGAACACACTTCCTTTTCAGTGATGGCCGTTGTCAGTCAGGTTGAAGTATCTTGTTCGTATTAAATATATAATTGTTCTTGTCTTTTGTGCTACTAACCATAGAATCAAAAGACATGCAAGTTTGTAGAGCGTCAGAAAGTAGCGAATTTTAAAGGAGTAACGTCGTTATTGCTTTGCTGTTACAATTACGCTAAAGCCAACAGAGTCCGAGCGAAGAAGTGACCATCTGCAGCTCAGTAGGATACGAATTAGCAGGATTTTCAGGCTTCTATCAGGAATTTTTTTCCGATTTTCGTAGTTCATGGAGCTAATTTCAAAAGGCTGATTGCTGAATTTGAGCCTAGCAGATGCTTACCATTGTAGCTCATAACACAGAGTTCAGAATGAACGCATTCGCGAAGAAACGGTGTATTCAATGACCATGTTCGCCTTCAGATCGCTGAGACAACCAAGATATCGTATCTGCTCAACAGGTGACCGCAAAGAGTCCTAGCAAGTTTCTATCACTGGTGCACTATACTCAATGGCACAACAAATAAGCATCCGCTCTGGAAATTGTACACCAGTTACCAGCTGAGAAACTGGCACTACTGACAAACTAGTTTCTCCGAAAAAAGTGATAGCATGTTTTCCCTACAGTATTGAGGAAGACACTCGCAATCTGTGCGAGATATGCTGTTGTTTGACAACGAACTCGCCAATAGACACTTCCTTTCACATTGCGTATTCGGATTGTGCTACAAACATGAACGCCATCTGAAAATCCATTTTCTGCATGCTAGCATAACATTAAAACATAAGCGTCTACTAAGTTGCAAAACCGAACTTTCTGGAGTATTGTATTGTTTTTTTTGTCCCTAGTTACTAGACGGCGACGTCTTCATTTGATTTGGCAAGCAAGCACAAGTTTCGGGCTCTCACCGGCATATGTTAAAGGGCACAACTCCTCCAAAACGGGATTTTGAACGACGAGCCTCTAGAAATGCTGTTGGTGAAAATGCAATGAATTTTTGGCATGCTCAAATGGCCCTTTAGGCAAATAAAGCAACGGATTGTGCCATGAGCTGTTTTCGTAGCATATCAGTTGCACTCTCATGTTACTTCCTGAAGACGAACGAACTGCGACCCAAGAGTTTGGAAATGCATGGCTTTAAAAACATACTTTGCAGACCTACCATTATGAATATGAAACGTTCTTACCTAACATGATACCGTCGAAGTGAAGTTCTGCATATATACGATGAATCACCGTCGACCACTGATCATCCATTCTGGGCACTTCGAAGTTCAAAAACACAGCCGTATCGTTATTCCACATTCTCCCATGGAATACTTCCGCCGGGAGAGGGTTTTGTGAGGGCCAAGTCACCAGGCCAAGCGGATCCAAAGTCTGCTGAAACCAGGGACTTTCAGTTGCCTCTTTGCTGATCGTTGGAGTCAGGGTCATCATCCACCGTCGCCCCTCTGCAGCGATGTACTCGTGTATCCCGTCGAACGTGGGATAGGTCGAAAGTGAGTCTTGATGTTTCTGGACATGGCCCAAACCGAATGCGTGTACTTCATGTGGTATACCCAATTTTTTCATGTCGTTCGCTTGCTGTTTGATGTTTTCAACACTAGTGTATAGGTCTTGGTACAACTGGAATCCCAACGACCAGTACGGAACGAGCCGCGGCGGTCCGATCAATTGCCAGTACTGGCGAATGACGTCCGCAGGCGAAGGTCCTCGAAAAATGTACATCTCCAGAATGCCGCCGATGGTACGGTAAGTGATGGCCGGAGCCGGCAAGATCGTGATCTCTTGAGCGTTGCTGTTCAAGAATAACACACCGTGAAATTTTCCAAACTGGTCGGCACACATGTAGAACGGATGCACGCCATGCAGGTTGTTGTTCGACTGCGTCTTCCTGGAACGAGGCTCATGCCTCGCAAACATTGGCCACGTCTGGTATGACGAAAAGCTATGTTTCAAAGACGGATGGGCGTGCTCTCCGAAACCGTACATTCTCGTCGACGGCAAATACGTCGAAATCTGTATTAACTGGTCGTTGTACACGAAACCGCCAATGCTGCTGTCAAACAACGTTCTGTCATCCGTCGCGTCTCTTACGATCAAAGAGAAAAGCTGGCCGGATTTAGGGATTACTACAGCAAAATTCTCACTTTGAGAACGTGCAGTAGTTTCCGACATGTTTGTGTCAGGATACTTCTCTAAAGGTACATTATATCTTTCCTGTGACATATCTGTGAAGGAGATATGAATCACGTTTCCTTCATGAATCGTCCATGACATGCTAACAGGAGAAATAGGTTTGCTGATAGATCTGATCTCATTTGACAGGCGTTCTTTCTGTAATATCACTGTCTGGTCATGTGTCTCATTAACCACATAACCATGGTCTCTAGGATAGTAACAGCGCGGCTGCCCTTCGAACGTTTCCGATAGTTCGTCCCAAACACAGCCACGGTCAATGCATCGCTCGAATTCAGGGTGCGGGTCAGGATGGCAGTCGATGCGCTCAGAAAGATTTGGAAGACTATTTGCCTCCTTTTGCGAATTCTCCTCATGACGGAGGTACTGTTTAAGCAAGACGCCGACTACAGGCAAAATTATAATCGCCATTACCGCCACCACAAACACACTGCATATTTTCCTCAAAGTAACCATATTTATTTACGGTATCTGACTGGCCAATGAATATTTGAAACGTTCCTTTGATGATAAATTTTCATTTAAAGGTTTGCCTAAAAAGTTCAAATATAACGAGGATATTACACTGATTAAACGTATTTGATTATGTATATTGCTGCTTAATGCAGAAAATGCACAATAATAAAAGTCGTTGCACACATGAGATAAAATGGTAATGCAATGCACTACACAGTTATAATATGTACTTGAATGTTATAACTGAGAACGTTAATAACTTTGAGGCTAATCTTAAAATCATTCTTGTATTTCACTTGTCTGTGTAGTGGTTGCAAGCTTTGTGCCTTGCCTCAGCTTTCTGTAAAGATCAGATAAGCAATTAAGTGGCGGCATTGGAGGAAAAATCTTGAAGTGCATGGGCAAAACCTTTTCCGTCTGGATTATGTGATTTTTGGTGGAATCTTAGGAGGTAGGAGGTTCTCGATGACCGGAAGAGAAGCTATCGTGGTGATTTTTTAAACTAAGAGAATGCTGAATGCATCAGGCCGAAGGAGACGTTCACGCGCATCACCCTTGGACAACCAAACGAGGTCATAGATTGTTTACTGTGAAAAACCAATCATGCTTCCGAAGAGGGTACTCGTGCACGAACAAGATTTACGTGTGAAAACGGATCGCAGTATTTTGGGACCAGGAACGTTTATACATTGGAACAAAATGTGCCATCCAAGCCCAAAGGATCACTGTCTGGCTTTTCAATATTAAAATCAGATTTCGTAAAGGTACATCACTCTCTCCATTGGTTTTCAATATTATGCAGAATTATGTTACACACAGGAGCGTCTTATCAAAGTTCAGTTATGGGCTGCAAGTCAATGAACGATATAGATCAAAATACCAGGCTGCTTATCTAGCGGGCCTTCAGCATCGATGGCATCGTACCGCTGAGCGGCTTTGCAACTGATCTGCTGATACTCACTGAAGGTGTGTGCAACATCGCTGAACAAGCCGGTCTACAGGTCAAAGCCAACAAAACAAAAATGTAAAGAATGACATGCATCAGCGACTATACTTTGAGGATTAGATCACTCGATCAAGAAGATTTTCGCGCCCTATGCCCTATCAGAATACCCTAACACATGTTATAAGTATAACATGCCATCTACTTTATTGACATTCTGTTCATCGGTGCGAGCTTACGGGACATCATCATCATTATCTTCTATCGCCGCTGCTCCTTTCGGGTCGCGGAGGCAGACACGTCAGAGAGAGCATCCAACGTTTCTGATCTTGTGCCAGAATCTGAGCTTCGGCAAAAGACAAATGCGGTCTGGAACAGACTCCTTCCATATGTTTGCACCAGGTTAATCTTGGCCGTCCCCTGGGCCTTCTGCCGCACGGATTAATAAATTTTAATTTCATTTTTTAATCGATTTGCATATTTAAACTGCATGTAGTCAAAAAGTTACCTGTTTAGAAATGCGCACTTATGAAATAAACCATAAGTGTTCTTCTACGAGTCACACACAAAGTCAAGTTTAGAGCATTGACTGAACTGACCTCGCCGTTTGACGTTCGATGTCGTTGATTAAACTAGAACATTCAGTTTAACTTTAAAGTTGCTGCATGCGTTATCAAGTTTAAACTAAGCTCATGAAACTGTCGCATACATACGTTTAATAAGAAGCAAGTGCTAGGTAAGTAGCACTCCAGCCAATAACTTCATTTCCAATTTCTAGCATTTTAATACCAGATTTACCGAGCGAAAACGCTAGTTATCCAGGGAAATCGTTTATGCGAGCTATGACTCTATTGTACTCGCTTTATTGTGGGAGTTCGCAAATCCGGAGTACATGTGCTTCGTTGACCTAGAAACCACTCTCCTCGCCTGTTTGTGTTGTACATGGATAGAATAGTCAGGAGCAGCCAAGGCGATGAGGGTGTCGGTGTAGGAGATGTGAAGACGAGAAGGTTGCTGATTGTAGACGGCCTCTTCTGCAACTGATGATCAGTGCTTCCTAGGAAGGTTCGCGTCAAAGTGCGACGTGACGGGCATGCGTGTGAACGCATCTAAAACGAAAAGCCTAGTGCTTTCTTGTTCTCCTGCCCAATGAGGGCTTCAAACAAATGGAAAATCAATGGAGCAGGGCGAGAAGTTCACATATCTCGAGGTCGTATTTACTGGTGATGTAAAATGTGAGGAAGAGATCGGCCGGGAAACTGGAATTGCAGCGGTGTCCCGCTTCAGCTAGTCTGAACCGCTGCGACTAAACCAAAATTGAGTTTGATGAATGAGCCCTCGTTGTTCAAGGCGATCTTCATCTCGATGCTCACCTACGGTTAAGAGTCGTGGGCCATGACTGAAAAGATTCGATCTCAGCTACCCATACAGCAAAGTACTGCAGGTACAGATACCCGAGAGAGCCTTCGGCTACAACTGTTTACTCTCCAGGTTGAGAAGTCACAGCTGAACGGTTTGGGTACGTGTTGTGAATGACCGCAGAAATGACGGCGAAGCAACTGGTACTTGTCCAACCGACCGGTGGGAGACTTCGGGCCCAGTAGAGATTAACCTGGGGCAAGTACCATAGCTCAAGCGCAGGCAGAAGATCGAGAACGCTGGAAGTTCGGTTACAGTCGTCTGCCACCGTGACCTGAAAGGATAGGAGGTCATAAAGACCGAATGACTGAAATTCTCTAATTTGGCAAATACACGTACTTTTCTTACAGAGAACTACCCAATGATATACGATGAGATGGGTTAAATAACGCAGGTAATGCAGATCACCACTCTCCAGTCACGCAGATTCAATGCAAAGACCGAAGGGCCAGGGCGGACAACAACCAGTGGTCGGCGCCAGATCGTGCCATTCCGTGTATGGGATGCATAACCACATTGATGAGTTGATTCAATGAAGATGCCTTCAAGTACCTGCAAAATTTGTCACTATCCGTAGGCGAGTATATAAGCAATAATATAGCGAGGTTCTTGGTTGACACCACAAATGGCAATTTTCAATTCCGTCCTTATAGACAACAAATTTTTACACATTCATATGGCATTAGGGCAATTATAAGTTGAACAGAATGAACTGACTTTGCTCAGTCACTCCAGAATATTAGAGATATCTCTTGTTCATATAATTTATCTTTTCTTCATGACGTTCCGAAATATATGATCTCTGTCCCCGTCACAAACTGCGGGAAATAACCAACGTCAAGGGGGAGGAAAAAATAGACCGTAATAATCGATTTTAGCATAAGTACTCATCGTTTACGAAAATGATATTTTAGCTGCTGATCACGAAGGAACATTTGTGGTCAGCATCACGTTATTCCTCGAGGAGAGCAAATAAAAATTGCTTTGCGGATTGCTAAGTAGGGTTCTTATCGAAACTGACGTTGATGCTTTGAAATCACTGAATGAAGGATGAGACTTCATAACGAATATGTTGATAGACGAAATAATGAAAATTTTTAGTGATATCGTAACACATCGCGTCTGCATCAGAAATGTGTTTCTCAGCACCCAGAAGGTAAATGGCAACACGGATATGTCAATGCACCAAGCGAAAAAAATAACATGGATCCATTGTAGCAATAATCATAGTTAGCGTACGTTCGAAGCTACCCCTAAACATGTCACAAACTGCAGTATTTCATTCTTTTGCTCTTTCACTGGTAAGAAATGAGGGTCAAATGACTCCTTTTGTTCAATTCCAGGAACTCACTGTATTTTAATGGTTTGGCTAAAATTCTGTTGCTACTCTGAGGATAATGTCCTAGGTTCAGGACACCTATGTTAGTATTCTGAAGCGCCTCTGCGAATACGCATCCGATTTCATTGCAGTCAATATCCGAAAGTCATTCCATTGAGGAACAGGGTGAAACAGGCAGAGTCTTACGGCAGTCTGCAATACATTCTTTATACACGCATAAGAAACGTAGTTTAAATCCGTTCATCAGGGGCTTTGATTAGAGAATTGTTTTCTTTCTCTCATAATTTATAAATGAGGATTGAGAATGTCCTCCAGTCGCCAAGTTCAGTGAAATAAAGTCTTGTTCAAAGTTTCTAAGATGTGTAGAGTTTCATGACATTCGCCGTGTACAGATGATTGTCATAAGCCTCTTTTCGACGATCCATGAAACCGACTTCTGCATGCCTCAGAGTAAAAGCAGATGAAGTCATTTTATCAAACACTAGTGTCACGATAACCTTAAGCAAATCGTATTTAATGGATTTGATTTCTTGCGGCACGGCATTACCTATCGTTTGGAGCAGTAATTGTCATTAGAGGAAATAGACAAGGAGCTCAATTTGTTTCAAGTTGAAAAATTTTTGTTGTGACCGGACAATGAGGTGAACAGCAGTTCCATACAGATTCTTCTTCGAGCACGGTGGCACAGATTCAAAGAAATCCGCTTCGAACTCAGAAGGTGTTGCGTTCGAATACCATAAAGATAAAATAAATTTTATACGGTTCACTACTGAAATTGAAGCCAATAACTCCATATCCTTTCTCGACGTTCTGGTAAAGAGGACAC